TTTTTAGAATACTGTTTGGCTCAGTGTTTCAAAATGTGATAAGAGACTGAACACGCTCTCTGGGCTGGACTATTACTGCCATGCGGACATTTTCAGAAACATCTCTAGATATAGACAGCACTTTCACAAGTACCAGCAAGTAATGGCAAAACCTCGAACAGCATGTATGCATTATGAATCAAGACAATTTTCCAAATATAATTAAATTACTCCCTCTTGACTTTTTCCAGACTAGAAAATGTGCGCTCAATGGGCCCATTTCATGCTCACAGCATTGTGGGTAATAGCACAGAACCCCCACTGACTTCCACTGAAACTCAAACAGACTTAAAATGGCATTAAAGTACTTTTTGGAGAAGATTATCTTTCTGTACCAATATGACAACCTCAAATAAGCTCCTCTTGCGCCATCAGAATTCACGGTCACATCCATTAATCAGAAGAAAAGTTCAATTATCACAGGTCCTGGATCAGTATGCACTTAAAACTCCATCTGTCTATGCTAAGCTTTTTCTCACAGTTTCTAAGAAAAACTGTCCAGATTGGGTACTTTGAGTACATTGGGTCCTGCTGTGAACTGAACTAGAGAAGATGAACAAGGAAGAGCGGGTCTCAACCTATTGTGGTGTAAAATGTAACATGGATTTTTTATGTAGTCAAACAGGTTCAAGCAGAACATGCTTGTGGTCATTTCGTCATATGAGAATTATCAGTAATGGGATAGATTTTTTTTTTTTAAATTCACCCTGAAGACCGTCTTTGTACTATGAAAATGATTTTTTTCCTCACAAGTGTTTATGTGAGCAATTACTGATCAATTACAAATACTAATACAAATTCTGTGTCTATAAGTCGCAAAATTCACACCTATATTATGGTGATCACTCTCTTGGTGGCTGTAACATAGCTAAATTCTCAAGCATGTAAATCCATTATATGGCCAAATGTATGTGGACACCTAAACCACACACCTAAATGAGCTACTGGGCAACCCATTTTAAAACCATGAGCATTAATATAGAGTTGGTTCCCCTTTCCACAAGATTGTGGAGTGTGTTTGTAGGAATTTCTGCCCATTCAGTCAAAAGAGAATTTGTAAGGTCAGACACTGATATTGGACGAGAACGTCTGGCTCACAATCAGTAATAGCTCTAATAGCTCAATTGGAATAGAGTATGTCCATGTAAACACCTCAATCAGAATAGACTAGTCCGATTGAGGCCATTTAGAATACAATTTCTATCCAACTGATAGAAGAAACAGAAGAGTAATAATCCTGTAAGTGCCTCTATCCGATTACATTCCCAATCAGAACGTTTAAGCACGTTCTATGCATGTGCGTTAGCTTCATAGTGAAAGTTTATAATGTTCAACATTATATATGCGGGAGCAGAAACTGGTCTGTAGAGGAGACAAAGTTTATGCTCTGATCTTTAAAAGACGGCGGTGGGACGGGCGTCCAGCTTATGTGTCTCAGAACACGACGTCTTCCTCTCGCCCTTCTTTAATAAGGACATGTGAAGCACGTTTTCCTGAGTCTGACATCATTTTAAAGTAATTAAAAACACAAGCACTGCTCACTGCTGCTTGTCTCACTCTGACTGGACTCATCTGATGCTTGTTGTCATGGTAACGTCTACACTAAGTGGTTTTCCATGCATGCACGTAATTTTGGGTCGGATTACTTGTAGTGTGCACGTAAACTGAGATTAGTTGATCAGATTGTTGAGCAAAGTGAGCATATAAGCAAAATCTTTGCATGTAAACACAGCCAGTCAGGGCTCTGTGCAGGCCATCGAAGTTCCTCCACACCAGACTTGCCAAACCATGTTTTTATGGACGTTGCTTCGTGCACAGGAGCACAATCATGCTGGAACAGAAAAGGGTCTGCCCCTGTTTCACGACGTTAGAAGCATATGACTAAATTGTCTAAAAATATGTCTAAAATGTCTTTTTTTGCTGTAGCATTAACATTAACCTTCACTGGAACTATGGGCATAGTGGTCTTAGACTTGTGTGCAGTTGCTCAGACAAGGAAACCCATTTCCTGAAGCTCCCGAGACACTGTCATTGTGCTGATGGTCACTCCAGCGGCAGTTTTGAACTCTGTAGAGAAGGTGCAATGGAAGATGAGGATTTTTACGTGCTACAGCACTTGTTGGTTTAGCTCTTTGAGTTTGCATGGTCTACCGTTTTGTAGCTGAGCTGTTGTTGCTCCTGGATGCTACTTCACAATAAAAACATTCACAAGGCAGGGCAGAAATTTCACAAACTGACTTGTGGAAAAGGTGCCATCCTGTGACAGTGTCACATTTAAAGTCCATTACAGTCCATTTGAAAAGCCAGTGTTGTCTCTAGAGATTGCATGGCTATGTACTTGATTTCATGAACAAGTTAGCAATGAGTGTACCTGAATCACCTTAACTAAAATTAGGAGGGCTGTCCACATACTTCTGGCCACACTGTTTAAGTCACAGTGAGAGCTAGCCTCCAGTGTTACAACTCCCTCCCAAAGTAAACAATGAGAGAAATCTTCATTTCTACAAACATTATTCAACACAGCTCAGTAAGTTTTTTTAATGCACAGATTATTTAAAAACATACTATAGACATCATGCATATAAAAAAGCAAACAAAATTATGGTAAAAAATAAAATGGAAAGCTATGTGGTAAAAATTAAAACGGAAGCTCACCTAGTTCAAACAAGAAGCTTGTCTGGTGTCTATTACAATTAACCACTCAGTAACCATTAGCTCCTCTTAGGGGATAAGCTGTAACCTTTGCACTCATGCTACTTTTGGCTGAATTGTTTGCAAACGTTAGGTGCTCACAACAAAGTTTACATTTTCATTTGTAGCAGAGATGGGTAGGTTGTCTGTATAGAATTAATAACTATCAATGTTGCTCAAACACTTTGTTTAGCTAGAGCCAAAATGTGTTGGACTGTGCTCTGCTCTCCCCTAGTCCTTGTGTAATAATTTCCATGGGATCACGCTCTGCCCAGCTGATTGGCACTGCACTAATAATGTAATATGGTGAGCACAGGCATTTGTTTACATGAATATAAAATAAAAATAATCAGCACCCAGCATAGTACAATGTCACTTCTGGAAACTGCATAGCTTTTAACTTTTATGTCTGAAATTGTAAATAACATATTTTGTCTGACAAGTGGGGTGGGCCAACATCAGGAGGCTACAGTTTACACTAATTTGCAGTTAATACATGAAACTAGGGGAACAAAGTACACCTACACATAGATTATCATACTGTCATTATATCTAAGGCTTTATGCATCAATATTAAACCACAGTAACAAACAATAATATTAACAGGAATAATTATGCCATATATTTTTGACACATTCAGTATAGAGATTTAGATAGTTTCATTGCCTATTGCAATGCTGTTTTTCTCTCTCTAGAGTGTCACAGACATTCTTAGTCTGATCTGCATTCTGTAATAATTATTTTAGCAAAATATCTCAATAATTATAGATGTGATAATAATTAAGCAGAGGGGAAAAAGGGACAGACAATAATAACAGGTTTCATGTGTCTTTCTTTTTGTAACTAAATGAAATAACTTTTCTAACTAACTGAAACAACGATCTATTTTGCGCTTAATTAGTGTTGACAGTGTAGTATCACTAATATGGGAAAATCATTTTCAAAACCATCCAATCTGTTATATGAGCTATGTACTTTTTGCGGGATCCATCCTGTGACCACCCAAAATTTCAAAAAGTAGGAGGTATTAGCAAGTGATTAGGAGATGCAGTTGCAGTGAACAACTTGGTTGTAGCTTCAGTGGCTCCCAGACTTTGATGGTTCTGCCTTTGTGCTTCACAGCACTCTCAGTGAGTGTCTGGTTGGAATTCTTCACCACACAAAGAATCAACCATTGATGTGCTAAAAGTGTTTTCCTCTGAAACAAATATTTTCTTTAACATTTTATGAAGTAACCAAAGATATTTAAAGCTCACACTAAAGTTCACCAATGAATAAATGGTAAAAGTGTCTCAATACTTTCTGAGGCCACTGTAGATTTAATTTCCAAATATTTAAAGACAACAAACTGAATGTGTGCTCTCCACACAAGACATGTTAAAAGTAACCCTCTCTTTGTCGTTACCAACTTTTTTCCAGGCCCTAAAAGTGGAAAAAATGGCAATAAAGCAATAAAACACAAGAGGCTGTGTGTAACAACAATAGCCTCAACAGACTGTGTGTTACACTGATAAGCAATGAGAGGCAGTGTGATACTAGGATAAGCCACAAGAGGCTATTTTACGAAAAGCCACAAGAGGCTATGTGATACAAGGACAAGGCACGAGAGACTGTGTGGTACAATGACAAGCTATAGGGGCTGTGTGTTACAACGAAAAGCCACGAGAGACTGTGTATAAAAAGAATATGCCATGAGAGACTGTGTTACATTAATAAGCTACGAGAGGCTGTGTGATACAATGATAAGCCACAAAAGGCTATATGTTACAATGATAAGCTACTATATGTTACAATGATAAGCTACTACAGGCTGTGTGTTACCCTGACAAGCAATGAGAGGCTGTGTTTTACAACGCAAAACCATAATAGGTTGTGTGTTACTATGATAAGCCACGAGAGGCTGTGTGTTACAATGATAAGCCGTGTGAGACTGTGTGTTACATTGATAAGCCATGAGAGGCTGTGCGTTACAGCAATAAGCTACGAGATGCTGTGTGTTACACTTCTCAGCAATATGAGGCTGTGTTACATTAATAAGCCACGAGAGGCTGTGTCTCACAATGAGGCTGTAAGTTACAGTGATTTACAGTGATTTTCCCTGAACAGCACAATAGTCTTTAATAACTTAATGCATATATATAGCATACTATTGCTGTATATATATATATATATATATATATGTAGCAAAGCTACTGTTAGCTTAACATTCATTACGATTTACAGCACAAAAAACAAAAGCACAATGTATAGGTAAAGTCTAAATCACTCACGGTCAGTTGTGGTGTATTCTTGGTGGTCCAGTATACCAGATTCCTGCAAGGATCTGATGCACGAGTCCACAAGCTCCAGCCCAGTGTTCAGTTCATCCTCTATGTCTTTCTGTCCATCTGTGGGGCAAGCAGAGATGAGGGAGGGAGGATCAGCCAATCTCGCTAAACAAACAGGTCAGACTGAGACGCTGGACAACACCTCACCAAACAGTGTTTGTTGACCTAGAGTCCACGCTGGCCTGAATAGACAGTTGTGTCAGCTAGGGGTAGGTGATGTGATGATATATGATTATCTGAGCATAAACAAAGTCACTCAGAGGGATTTGATGCAAAATGGAAACTTAAGATTTATTTATTTTTTTTTTTACAACGGTGATGGAAACTGGGGCTGTGATATGACCAGTGAACCTACACATGTCGTCTGAGATTTTATATGTAATGTTGATAATAATAGTGTTAAATCTGAAAAAAAAAGAAATCCACTGCCAAAATGAAAAGCATTTCTTAAAAAAAGGCCAAAACTCGATCCTAAAACTATCTTAAAACAATGTCTCAGTGGTCAGGTTCATAATCATTTAATGGAAAAGCTTTCTGTAATGTGGCTTTTAGAGAAATGAAACTCTTTGGTTCCTATCAACACCACAGTGTCCAATTTGTCAGTCTCTAGAACGGCGCACTTCAAATCACACTTTTTGGAATGATGATGTTCACATCTCACCATTTAATTATGCAGAAACACTGGAAGAAATTCCCCTTTAAAGAAAATTGTGTTGACTGCATTTTTCATTAAAAAGAGATTTTGATAGGCTTTTAGATGCTGTAGTTGTCTCAACCTTCACCTTATGGTCAGGATATCAAATTTGAATCCAGTCAATACCAGGAGTTCAAAAGAACTGACCTTGTTTACCTGCATGCAGCGCTGTGGAGTACATTAAATATTCAATAAAAAGCTGCCGTACTCACTAGGGGATGGGGGGGAAAAATTGATTCACAAATGTAAAAAATCGATTTTCTAAATTTTAAAGTTAATTTTAACGTAATGTTGACAGAACGCAAAAGGCGGAACTTAGAAGTGCGGAAGTGCAGCGCCCGGACAGTCTGTGGCGGCACATAAAGACACAACTGGATGAGCGAGAAATCCGACCGGCACCCTCTACTTTAAAAGCAAGGTTAGGTCAGGAGTCACAGGACAAATATTAAGAAGAACAATTTTGTCCTTTCAACAAAAATCAAACCACCTTGAGAGCGATAACATTTTATGTCCAATATGTCTCAGTATGTGCTGATGTCCTAGTACAGGCTAAAAAATATAAACAAAAACGCAGATTTACTTTGCTCTGCTTTAAGCTTTGGCTATAAGTTCAACTTCAGAAAACTTCTCCTCAAAAGTAGATCAGTTTCTTGTAAAATATCTCTCAACATTTAACTGTTTTACGAAGCTAAGGTCGCTTCTTACTCTCCAGTTTCTTGTTTGAATTTTCCCGTTCCACCTTAAATTCTGCCTGAGGTGCCAGAATGTAAGTGCGGAACCATTTAAGGTGGAATGAAAAATTTGGAAGAGAAGCTGACTTCATCTTCACAACTATTAAGTGTTTGACAGTCTCCCATTGCAGATTTAACGTTCCAGGAAACCAACTGTGGTGCTTATAAATGCAAATAAGTCCATTCGTCTCCAAATGTTCGTCTTAAATCTCTCTCTTTGCCTTTCCGTTAGCTACTAGCTAGGCAAGACTGGCAGTCTGCATGCCAGTTCTCAGTCATTGAGAACATGGGCTTTCGCGCAATGTCACACACTTTGGAGCCGAGATCCAGTGTCTCGTCTTGAAGATATTTTACTGACACAGCGATGCCCCCCACCCCCCCACATCAAGACCAAAACCAAAGTTACGAAATAAAAAAAAATATAAAAGAAAACAGGTAGGACAGCTGTAACGTGCTGCGTGGACAGCTATTGCCACTGGATCTTATTTCACCGGAATAGCGCATTTTATCACAGATGAATGGCAGGCTGTGTTTCATGTGCTCCAAACAAGAGCAGTGAATGAGAGCCTTCCAGTTCACTTGCCACATCTCTTCCATTTGATTTATTAACAAGAGATATTGAAAGTAAATTCATTACGGATCATTACAAATACTTTGCTTTAAAAGTACCAAGTCCTCAAACTGAGAAAACAGAAATCCTGTATAGAAAACAAAGATCATCAAGATGCATCGATAATCGTTTCGTAATCGCATTGCAGCCTCCGAATCGTAATCGAATCGAATCATGAGGTGCCTAAAGATTCCCACTCCCTAGTACTCACTAATTTCTTAAATGTGACACTTCTGCTGCATCGTGTCTGTTCCAATTCATTAAACCTTAGAAAAATGTATCACTATATGCATAAAGTATCATGATATTGTTACAATATCACTGACCCTATTAGCATAGCATTAGCATAAATGTCTAAAAAATAACAGTGCCAAAAAGGGTTCTTTAAAGCCACAGAAGAACCACTTTTGATTTACTAAAGAACCTTTCAATGGTTGGCTCTTTTCGTAAATGTGACGTGTGAGAGAGAAGAAATCTTTCTAGAGGTTTTATGAGGGCTCTGAACAAATTCAACAGTACATTCAAGCAAAAAATTATTAAGAATCCTTTGTCTTTAAAGGGACATTTTGGCCAATATGGAAAATTTTATCATCATCAATTCGCCAGTTGTATCACGTCTACTCGCTTCTTACAGCAGTGCCGCAGTGGTCTTGTCGGGCCTAAAAGCCTCTCTTCTGAGCCCAAGGCCTGTGGACAGAGATGGATTCATCTAGCGTGTTCTAATACTGTTACCTTAAGACCTAACTGCAGTATAGCTTCTTCTAACAAAATAAGAAAAATGTCTAAGTATAAAAGAGCAAAGTAAAATAAAAAACTTCAGTCGCTGAGTTCTTGTGGAAGGAAGGAAAAGGCCTTCTTCTTTATTGAGCTTGAATGGCAAGATGGTTCCCGGACAACCACAATGCAAAGAACATCTCAAAAACACCCATTTTCATATCCTGTTTGGGGTGATGAAGTAATTGCCCCTCCTTTTCTATAAAATTCTATACCATCTTCGTTCCCATCATTTCCAAACCTTACATTTCCTTGGGAACAGTTACACTTTCACTTGGGAACCCTTATTTCCAAAAAAACACAAGATATGTTTCTTAAAAATATCTCATTTTAGCTGTACCAGGATGTTCCACTCTCCCAATGACATTAGTTTTGACTGGTCGCATTGTAAATTCACCTGTTCTTATCTCAAGGACGGCTCCTCTTGCTCACACAGCAAATTCTCACAAGCTTCTGGAGGCCCCCTTTACTAAAAGGGGCACGCTGTGTCCAAGTTCTCATGCAAGTTAAGGCCTTACAGTGTGAAGATTACTGTTCTTTGGTTAATAACCACTACTTGTTAGATCTATCAAAGATAAAGATTATTTATTCAAAACATCCGTCATTTCCCTCCTTTCATGGTTTAGGAAACCATGACCCCATATTCAACTCACTTTCCATAAATAATGTTGGATATAATGCTGTAAATATTATTAGTAGAGTTGATACATAAACAGGAACTAATTGTACTTATAGGTCAAACTAAACTTAAAGTCATTCTTATGGGATAAACTTAGACCATAAAGATTAGTGTCTGATATTCACTACAAGCCCAAATCAGAATTAAATTGAATCTACATACAATTGTCAAAATTCAGTTCTCATGACGTTATGCAATGAATAACCCAGTTGAACGACTCAATTAAATGATTAGCACCAGCATATGCAATGAATAACTTGATTAAATGATTAGTAATATCTACTACTCATACCTATGAATGATTAACGAATGATTACGAATGTGTACAATTACTATGATTAATAAATGAGTACAATTAAATGTAAATGATTAAATGTCCACAAGTGATTAAATGTGGATAATTAAATGTTTACCCATCATATAATTAAATGTTTACCCATCAGTCTCCAGAGAGATTTTCTGGCTTAAAGAACAGAAAAAAATACTCATCTGATGAGGCATATTGAAGGTGGCAGTAAATTCTGAAAGCGCTTTGGGGTGGAAACTTAGGGGTGGGATGTTTGAAATTAGGCGGCTAAATATTCCTACAATCTCAAAAAAAAAAATGGTTCTCAAGGGTGTAAAAATGGTTACATATGAAACCATAAACACTCAAAGAACCTTTCGCTTGAATAAAGGGTTCTTCGCATCATAAAAGGGTTCTTCAGATATATGGAGAATGTGCTGTAGATGGTTCTATATAAACCTTTTTGAAAAGCGTTCTATATAGCACAAAAAAGGGATCTTCTATTGTTACAAGCTTGTATAATAACAAAAGCAGAACCCTTTTTGGAGGTATACAGAACCCTTTTCAAAAGGGTTTATATAGAACCATCTACAGCACATTCTCCATTAATCTGAAGAACCCTTTTATGATGCAAAGAAAGCTTTAATCAAGCAAAGGGTTTATAGAACCAAGAGTGTTCAAAGTTCTATATAGATCCATTTTCTTTACTAAGGAACCCTTAAAGAACTTTTTTAAAGTGTATAACAAAAAAAATCATGACAGCCAACTGAGGTTAGTGCTGTATCACTAATGCTTGCTAGCAGCACAGATGTATATTATTAGCTTATAGGTCAGTGGCTAGCAGTCATGCTTTGTTGAGAGTCACTGGGATTCCTAATGACTGTGTAGTGCACGCTGGGTACTGTAGTGAGAGGGCACTGGATAAAAACATGAAAATGACACAAAAACCGCAAATGCTGAGGGATTCAATATAGCACTACAGCACGCTGCATAACACCACAAATATGATTAAATGCTAGTTCCAGGCCGGCATGTGCCTTTAAGAATGTAGCTGCCCATGTTATGGCTGAGCGCTGACCCCTGACACCTTGTGGGGAGTGTGGTTTAAGTAGAGCAGGGGATAAAACCCTAACCAAGCTCTTTAAGACAACAAGATTATCTTCTTAACTGGAACGTCAACTAGAGCTAAATACTGGCATCAAGCTACAGCTGGCACAGACAGTACCAAGGCCCTGAAAGAATGACTACGAAGCAAAGAACACTCGGTACTAGACGTGAAGGTGGAGAGAGAGAGAGAGAGAGAGAGAGAGAGAGAGAGAGAGAGAGTTTGAAGAGCGAGAGTTTAGAGTAGTGGGCTAAACTACACTGAAATCTAAAGTTAAAATGTAATTAAAAACTTTAGAAACTGTTCACCTTCACTATTTTCAGCAGGTATTTTTTAAATCCTATTCTGTTGTATCCAGCCAGTGGGATTTCAGACACTAAAACATTTTTTGCCTTTTATGTCTCCACTTTTTTCCACAGGCATAATTACTCTTAATTGCTGTTGATTACTACTTTGTATAGAACGTTTCTTAAGGTTAAGGGCGTTTTAATGGCTTGAAGGTTGCCCGAAAGTTTCATAAGTCTGGAATTTTTTTATTTGCTGCTGCGCTGCCCTGTTAATATTCACCTGTCAGACCCCTGAAATGTCACATTATCAATCATAAGCAGCGTTTAATATGTTTCAAATTAAACCCACTCACTTCCTGAAGGGGAAGCCGCCCCCCACCCCGCAGGATGAGAGAGGCTTTACTCGCATTACAAATAATTTTTATGATATAATTACTGTGTGATGTGCCTGCTATCATAGCTGATAGGTGAAGGCGTTTGATGCATTTAGGAGAAAAGTAGTTTGTAATGTCTAAGTGAAAAAGGTGACGCAGCTTGAAGGATATGAATGAAGAGTGAAAGAATGGATTAAAAAAGTGACTAAAAAAATTACCTTCAGTGTTCCAGCGAAGATGTTCATCTGCTGAACTGTAAGAAACAAAAAGAGAATTGATAGGTAAGTAATAATAATAATAATAATAATAATAATAAACTACCATTTAGAAGTTTGAAATTACTTGTCATTCATTTTCCATTTTTATTAAAATGTATTCAACACAAACTAGACACCAAATGTATTTAATATTTCAAGAACAACAAGAAGTTTTTTCCATTATAAATAACACAATAATCAACAATCTAAAACACCCTTGGCAAAATACAGGTTTTGTTGATTTTCAAAGTGAAAATAATTAACACGTCTTCTACAGAGAGCACACTTAATTGTGGCATTTCTCTGCATTCTTCAGTCACAATTTTTATTTATTTGCAAAAAATAATTAGAAAATAATAACTAAAATAATAATTTCTTGATACATTATCTGCCTCCAAATTCGATCACCATTTTTCAAACATGAATAACTCTGGATGCTGATTTTATTATCATTTAATTCTCAGTGCTGTAGACTGAGATGTCTAAACTTTTTGTCTAATCATAATAATTATCTTAAAATTGTGTGTGGTGGGAATAAGGGTAAAAAATAATAAATGAAGCACTACACATATAAAGAAGGTAGGTAGGATTCAATGAATTTATGAGTGCATAAAATTTACTGGTAGTTTTTCCTGTAATGAATGTTAGGCCTATATTTCCTTGTTAAAACTATTTTAAAACATTAACAAATATATTAATAACATTTCTATCCAAAAAACAAAATTTTCATTATAATACATTTAGTATCTCGAAAATTACCTTTACAGGAGAAAGGAAAACCATTCTCATTTTTTTATGTTAATTAATGTAATGAAAATTTTTCCAAGTGTGTTTGGAACATTTCAATTAGTCCAGTCATCATGAAATTATTACAAAATGTATAGGACGGCTGCTGTGTTCAAATGATGCAGAAAAAATAAAAAAATAGGGAAAGAAAAGATCACTGTGGGCATATGTAACATTTGTTATTTTTTGCAGCTTTCTATAAATTATTTACAATTTATGGAGTTGCATAGTGGTTTCTATCATGGTAGTATCATTATATGCAGGTATATGCAACAAATTTGCCTTTATGTGACTGAAAACTGTGATTCCAAACTTTTGCATGGGAGTATATGCACCGTTGTATGCAAAACTTTGTGCACCCCTGGTCAAATGATTTTCTAAGTGTAAATAAGTTATCACACCCCCTACAGAGACACTTCTGCACATTTTAACACACAACTGCACTTTATTTGCTGTATTAAACACATTGGGAAACATAAAATGTGGCATGTTTTATATACATATTTTTCCCAACCTGTTAAACTCAGCGAACAAATATAAATTGTGAACTAAAATGATCAGAAAAATGCCATATTTAAGTGTGTCCTCTATAGATAATGTGTACACTAACTTTCACTCACAAAATCAACAAAACCTGTCATTTGACAAGGGTGCTTTTGTGTATGACTGTATGTTGGTTAGCTTTGAGGTTCTATAACCCTGAACCCTGATTTGGGCTGATTTGCTTTCACAGTGCACAAATTACTCAAGCCACAAAAAATATGATTTCACTTGAAACGCTGAATGGTCCATGTGTGAAAACACCCACAGTCTCTTACTGTACATATTCTACTACAGTGCCTCTGTGTAAAGGGCAATACAAAGCTGGAGTTCAGAGAGAAATCAATGTCACGGCCCAGGTTAGCTAAACAGAAGAAAGTGTATCACACTGGAGGGGCTTCACTCTCCGCTTTACAGCTCCGTTCTATAACACACCACAAACAATGCAGGAAAGCTTACAGCAGGGTTGCAAAATTGAGCACACCCCTACCGGCCATGCTGTGTGTCCACAGACAGGCCGCGTGTATGGTATAGATGAGAGCGCAGGTAGGGTGTGTAAACACAGCTTAACCAAAGGAGAACAAATGGCCCCGCTGGCCGCTGCAGAGTATTGGATTTCCAGGGTCATGATCAATGGTGGTGGAGCGGGACAGGGGCCATGGATCATGCCGATGGAGAGCTTTCGGGATAGCCTGAGGGGGTCAACAAAATCACATGAGCCGCTGCACGGAGGCTGCAGGCTCAGTGTGCTATCACATGTAGCGTGAGTCAGTCTGCAGGCTTGCTCAGCTTGACAAACGGCGGATGGAAAATTGCAGAGTCGTAGCATGTGTTAGCGGGCTGAGCTGTTACCCCTCCTTACAAAAGCCTATTTATCACCTGTGAGCTCAGGAGAGCCGTGCTGCTGCTGCGTCACTGAAGAACTGACTGTGTGTTTGTGTTTGTATTAATGCACTTTCAGGACAAAAATGTTAAGACTTCTGGAGTATAAAATGCATTGATCAGTTTTGGAACGTTAGAATTGATTATAATCAATTATATTAATCTTAAATAAAGTATATGCCTGTCAGGGATGTGACTGTACCAACATCAGGGGCTCATGGCCCATTTTACATGGTCACACTGTTGCACAGCCTGTCTTCTAGATTCCACTATAGACTGAAAAAACCATCTGCCAGTTCAAACAAAAAAAATTAAAATTACATCATGCTGTCTTCCTCTGTCCCTCATTGCCATCTCTCACCTTCTCTGCTGTCTCTGTTGCTTGTATGGTCAGTTCCTGTCCTCTCTCAGCTGCTTTCGTGTCAAGCTCTTCTCCAACCTCTCCTACCCTCCGATAATGCAACATTTAGTTAAAGGGGAATTCCACCGATTTTCACAGATTCTGCATAATTAAATGGTTAAGATGTAAACAACTGACAGTAACTGACTCAGAACTGTGAACAGCGGTGGTGATAGGAACCAGACGTCTGAAGAGTTTAACTCCTCTAAAAGCTTTGTAATTGAAGGTTATTACATGAAATGGTTATGAATACACTGCCTTTGTTCACGTCTCAACAACTGAATTATGCAGAAATGTTGAAAATTCAGTGGAATTACAATTTAATCTCTTTAATACTTAAAATACCATTAGCCAGAAATTCACTGTACGTGTAATCACCACCTGGTCACAAATACCTATATCTGTATGAACCGGTAACTGTTATCTCATTAGAACCCAAAAAAAAACATCTATTAATTTGTTCTGTTTTAGTTCTTAACATATAGTACAGTGGAAATAAATAATGATCTCTTTCCTGTATTTGCCTTTCGCTCGGTAAAAAATGTCTAATGTCTGTATTAAAAAATAAACTAACCCAAAACTGAAGAAGAATGCATACAGTAGTAGAATAACATTTAGCTAGCCCGCCTTACAGATGACAAAATACAATATAACTGAAGAATTTCATATAGAATTTTCCGTTCCACCTTAAGTAGCGCCGCAGTCACAGCAGGTACATTCAGGCGCCGGCGTTCTGCAGCACCATTTAAGGTCGAACGGAAAGTTCAGCTTAGACGCCAACTTAATAAGTTAACCTAGCTAACAAACGGTCAACAGGTAATTAGCTCACGTTACAACAGTGTATTAACCTTAGCGTATGGCGACGTTATGAGTTAAATAATGAATAAATACGTGAATGTGGGTTTTTTTCTAGCATAAACAAACGTTCACCTTCGGTTAGCCAGATTTACGTTAACAACCAAGTGAACAAATTAGCCTGTTTAACGTTACCGTTAGTGCTGCTACCAATATCGAGCTAACACTCTAATTTAATTAATGTTAGTCTACACTATTAACTCGACTAAGATGATGTTGAGCTGTAAAATAACATAAAACAGCCAAGGAGAACATACGGCTTACTTTTTTCGTTTCTTTTCAAAATTTCCTCTTCGCGGCGACGCTGTCTTGCTAAATTACCTGTTCACGCTACGTTCATCTCCCAGCTAGTAATGGAGAGTCGAATCCGAAAGAGTCGACTCTTCGACTCTAATACTTCTGAGAGTAGGAGTCGACTCTTGGCCAACGACTCTGATGCTTGGAGTTGACTCTTTTAGTAAATGCCTTTAAGTGATTCTTATTTTAATCGTTAAAGGATCTGGTGCTATATAATATATAGCTCGATATCCCACACCTAGTCACGCCCCAGTGCTCATTTTATGGTCAAATTAAAAATGTTAGGCCATTTTCAAATGTACAAAAATGACATATATAAAGAAATGAATAAATAAATGAAATAAATGAATAAATAAATAAATAAACAAACAAACAAAACCTGTTTTATTGTTTAGAAAAAATCTAAGACCGGGAAAAATGTAACATAACATACTTTAATTTCAAGTGATTTTGGAATATATTTCTATTGGTCCATTTATCATGTAATGTTCACACAGTGTAAAGGGAAATAAAAATAGTGAAACACCAGTCGCCATTTTTAAACTGAAAGAGCAAAACCATTTCTCTTGGTTACTAAAGCTAAAGTTAGGGGTGGGTTTAGACTGTTCTGATAACATATTGGCAAATACTTATGTATAATTTATATGGGGCATGTTGTTAATCCATATGGACACTTACATACAAAGCACTGTGCAAAAGTCAGAGACTATTTAATTTCGACTTAAAACAGTCATTACATACAAGCTATTCATTTTCAGTGTTTAATATGAAATTACATGACAATCTCCATGTATAGTATCAGATTGATCAGTATTTAATTGGTCCATTCTTTACTTTTATGCGCCAACTGCCACTTTAACTCGCCCTCCTGCGAATCTTAAACCAACCAGTGACAGCTGTGTACTCCCAACAAACGCTGTTCCCAAAGGAGTCACTGACATTATATTCCCCTCCAACATTCACACAAACAACCACCCAAACTCATCTCAGATGCCTTGCAAACATCTTTCTCATGTGAAACAGCTAAAGGAGATGTTTCTGATGAGATTACTTGTTAGATAATCCACTTGCATAAGGCAGGGAAAAGTCAAGAGAGTCCAGAGTTTGCAAATGAACTATTAAATCACACACACAGAGAAAACAGGACTCCAAACAACCGTGCAAGATCTAGTAGACCACCAAACCTGTAACCATCAGTTAAAATGCACTTAAACTTCCATCTTTAATCCACAGGTG